GAGAAGACGGTCGAGAAGACGGTCGACAGCGACGACAAACAGCCGCGCGATAGGACTGAATCGGAGTCATCTAATCCGGACATACACTTCGAGCCCGTCATTCAGTTGCCATTAGTGGACATCCAGAGTATGGAGGAGAACGAGACGGAACTCCTGAAGCTGTAAGACATGTCTTGAGATCCGAGTTGTTTACTGTTTACTAAACCACTGATTGCTATGATATGGTGCTCAAGACGGGCCAAACTGTATCGATACGACACCTCCGAAGAAGTGCCACAATTCAAAGAGAGGGGAACGGGAGAAGTGAAACTTCTTAAGCATAAGGACATCCGCGCCGTCAGGATATTAATGAGAAGAGACAAGACGTTGAAGCTCTGCGCCAATCATTACAGTATGTATTGTGTGATCGTCTCGTGGTTTGTGTCCAAACTCTAAGCACTGACTGATTGTGTAGTAATGCCGACAATGGAGCTGAAGAAGCACCAGAACAGCGACAAAGTGTTCGTTTGGAGCACTTTCGCCGACCTCTCGGACGAGACGCCAACTCCAGAAACACTGGCCATCCGTTTCGGAAACGCCGAAAGTATGGCAACTATTGATTCATTTGATTATTGATTACAATGTAATTGCAATGAATGGCTGATCCTATGGTTTGTCTCAATAGACGCACAGAAATTCAAGAAAGTCTTCGAAGAATCCAAAGAGTTTGTGTCAGATCCGGACGATTCCATTACTAATACTCTGAATAGAATTCATATCAAAGACAACAATGAGAGTGAAAGCGAGTCAGAAGAGGACACCGAATCCGATGAAGAGGTGGACGAGAAGGAGAAGAGTAAGGATGAGAAGAAAGAGCCGGAGATCCCGAAGAATGAGGACAAAAGTGACACGAAAACCGATGTTAAAGAATAAGAGCCGAGAATGATTTGAATCTAAATTTTATTTTTTATGTAATTTTGTGACAAAACAATCTCACCAAAAGTTTTTATATATTTTGGGATACATTTATTTCGCGTTGATTTGAAAATATGACAAATTTTTCGATATCAAGACATAACTTGCAGTAAAATTCACTTTTGTTTACATATCTATGATTATTGAGTCAATTGTTTATGAATACAATAAAGATAAGGCAATTTGTAAAATGTGTCAATTCTGTTGTCTTAAAAACTAGGTCATTGTCTCTGATTTACTTCGAGGAATCTTTTGCACACTGAAGTAAACTATGGTTTGTGGTGACTATTCTAATTTTGCTGCCAAAGTTTTATTTAACTTCACTTTTGGTGACCAACAGGTAAGTTAATATTAGCAATATTATGAAAGTTTAATATGGTAACCTGTTTTTATACATTTCAAACATAAACTTAATTGCTCAGAATCTGAGCTTTATAAGTTTTTTTTAAAGAATACCTTACCTCTTAGCTGGTGATGAGATGGCAGATTTGTATTCACAGAATCACATAAACATGGTGATTCTTGCAATTACCTAGTTGTTGTTATCAATTAAAATGAAATCAATGTTTTAATGAGAATTTTAATTAAAATTATTATACAATTACAGTATTAATGAAATAATAATATTGTGGACGGATAATCAAAGGGCACCGACTATTCACACCGATAGTCTAGTATTTGATTTGTTAGACATATTATTATTTTGTAGTAAT